CTGGGCTCAAGCGAGTCTCCTGCCTCAGCCTCCCAAGTAGCTGGGACTACAGGCGCCCGCCACAACACCTGGCCATTTTTTGGTTGCAGCCATCATTGTTTTTTGGCGGGCCTGGGTTGGGGATTCAAACCCACCACCTTAGGTGTATGTGGCTGGCGCCTTAGCCGCTTGAGCCATAGGCGCCGAGCCACCCTCTGCTTTTTAGAAGAGAAACTTCTAATCTTTAGTAAATATAACTAAAATTATATTTAAAATTTTTATAGAAGAATTTGTGCAAGCTTATCTATCTTTAGTGCTGTCACATTTTGGGGAAAAGTATTCTTCAGAATTCCTAGGAGTAATCATAGCTTAATAAAAATAATAGTTACTAAAAAATATGCAGCACCAAACTTGCACATCAATTGTAAAAGCTTACACAAGCACAGGATGTGTGAGCAGCTGATTCACATCAGATGGAAACTATGATGGGCATTGAAGCCCTTGATTTCTCACTACTCAGTTCCAAGCCCTTTCTGAAAAAGTGACCCAGTGTGATTTGTGTCCTGAGAGCAGAGTGGCTGCATGAAACCATACTCATGGGGCAGTGCTCCTACCCATACCATTTGGGCATCTGCGAGTGCTTTTCCAAACTACCCTTTCTGAGATGAGGTGAACTTTAAGTGTAAAAATAAATATTTGCTTTTGATACTAAAAATAAAATTCAATCCCTGGCATTTTTCTATAGTGGCAAAGTCCCTAACGGATTCTGTTCAACAGAACATAACCTTTCCTAGGGTCCTATTTGAAAAGTAAAGACATCAAAGAGTTGAAGTGAAAACATTTCTTTTCAACCATAGTGATGGGACTTCTTTCATGTTTGAAAGATTTTAACCTTTATTTGGGTTTGCGTATTATTTTCTTTCTGGTGACATGTGACATTTAAACAGGTCTTGTTAATCAAATTTAGGTCACCTTCCTTGTGATTAACTGGGCGTGATTAATTCAACACTCAGGATTTCTAATATTTTTCTCTACAAATTAAGTTTGGGAGCTTTGAAAAATATGAAATAATCAAAATTGCTGTTATTTGAAATAGATACAGTATGTCATGCTGCAGTTTGGTTTATAATGGGATCTCATTACCATACTCATTACTGTGAATTATAGGAGTTTCCTGGCTGGCCTTCATTAACCATCTGGCTTTAAACATTGATTTGTGGTTACGTATGTTATTTTTAGAAAAGAACACCTGAACATCTACTGAAAACATTTGTTTCATCTTGCTCTACATATTTTTAAAGGCCATCAATCTCTCTATTATAAAAATCTTGTAGATTCTTTGACCTCGGTAATTCATGCATCATTTATCCAAAGGAAATATCAGCCATGTCATCAAGTCTTGATTCTCTAAGCTCCTTTTCCTTGAGAAATTTCCTAGGAAGTGTGAAAGGAAAGGAGAGCAGACAGGAGACAAATATCATTCTGTAGATTTCCATTCCAAAGTGGTAAAAAATGTATATACTATTAGGACTTAGATGCTGGGGTATCTTAAACCTAATAAAGAGGTTTAAAACAATTTAAAACAATTCATTCACTAATTTGATCAACCAATATTTACTGAGTGCCCTTTAGGGAATTGAGACTATTTGAGGTGCTGGAAATGCTGGGGAAACAGTAGTAAATAGGAAGGTCCCTACCCTATATATTTGGACAACAAACAAAAAGACAAATAATCAAGATCATAGGCCCCTAAGTCTGAGTGCAGTCAGTGGGAGAAGATGGTAGGAGGAGATGAAGTTGGAGTATTGGCACAGACCAGGTCCTGTAGAGCCATTGTAAGAATTTAACTCTAATTTTCATTGTGATTTACATTTTTAAAATATTATTATGGCTGTGATGCAGGATAAAACTCTAGGAAAGCAAGAATGAAAGTTGGAGACTACGCAGAAGACAATCATAGCAGGTGATGTGATAGAGAAGGATATCTGGCCCAGGACAACCACAGAAGAGATGGGGAGGGGCAGATAGGGGTGCAGTTCCAGATAAGTTACCCACATGCCACACAGACATGCTGGTTGTGAATGCTTAGGGAAGGAGAGGAAGCCAGGATGACTGCTAGGACTCTGGACTGAAGAAATGAATGAATAGTGGTGCTGTTTACCAAGGTGGGGAATTCAGGGGGAGGAATAGATGGGTGCATTGGGTGTTCATTTTTTGACAAGATGAATTTGAGATGCCTGTTAGCCTTTAGGATATGAATCACAAATAAAACATTGGATATGCATCTTGAGCATAAAAATGGGACTAGGTGAAGATTGCCCAAGGAAAGAGTGTAGGCCAGGAGAAGGCCCAAAGCAAGATTATACCGGTTATGTTCCAGGAAGAAAAACAGAAACCATATTGGTTATAATTATAAGGAATCACTTATACAGGTGTAGCTGCTGAAAGGCTAAAGGAGCAAAAGGGGGATGCCAAGGGAGACTGATGACAGCAGGAAGCAACTGCCACCTTTAAGCCTAGAGTATTTAGAGCTCATGACCTTAATCTATGGGCTGTGAGGAGATGGTCCCCACAGAAACAGTGCTCAGGCTTCTGGGAGTAAACCCATGAACATCTGAGCAGGGACTTGGGCTGGAGGTCCCCCCCAGGCTGAGGAGGAATAACTCAGTTGGTGAAGGAGTGCAGTGTGGCTCTTACTCAGCTGCCTGGGTCTCAAGTTGGCCTCTCCTAGGTGTCATGGTGAGAATGGACTGGGAGTACTAGAAAAGGTGGAGGCAGTGGCCAAACTGGGGTTGCTACTCGAGATGCCCAACAGGAAACAGTAATAGGAAGTAAGCCCCGCTTTCCCCAGATTCCAGTATTCCTCTGGTGATCCCTACTGTAGAACCTATCATCCCTCTGGTGATCCCAACTGTAGAACTTATCAGGAACATATTCCTTCCTCCATGGGACCCTGAGAGATGTCGTTTGCATAACTGAAATTCTGCATAATGGAGCAGGGTATGGTGGTGGGCTTGGAGCCAAGGAACAATTTCCATATTCCTACCTAATTTTCAATGTAAGGGAGCAATTCTCCTTTTCATGGTAGGTCTGTGATCCCTGTATAAATGTAAAATGAGGGCTACTGAGGAAGCTTTATACTGTGGCCCTTTAAGGGTAAAGTCCTCACCTATAAGGCCTAGATTAGGCATTGTGCCTGACGTACTTTCTCTCTCATGCTGGAACTGGAACATGAGTTTCCTTCCTGTTCCTTCCCTGAAAATACCAATCTAATGTTTTCTTGGTAACTGTCTGGAAGTTTTTTCAAATATATACATATGTGTGTGTGTGTTTGTGTGGATGTGTATATAGATACACACACATGTACGTTTATGTACATACATATATATATATATACATAATATATATATGACATATAGGAGACCATAATTAAATTGCACACAAACTTTATGACCACTCTGTATATGTATGATATGTACATACATGTAAGTATATATCTCTTTATTCACAGATTAATTTATTTATTCAACATTAACTGAGAGCCTACTCTGTATTTGGCATAGATCTTAATGCTAAGGCATAGGGATGAATACAACAAAATTTCTGTTCTAATGGATCTTAAATCCTAGGAAGTTGGAATGTGTGCTGGAGGGAAGGGTTAGTAACAAATATAAAACAATTTTCAGAATGAGATATTTTCAAGTAGTGCTAAGTCTTATGAAGAAAATCAAACAGGGTGACTCTGTACCAGTGATAGGAGAGAACACTGGCTGTCATGGACTCTGCTTCACAAGCTCACTAGGGATAGCTCACAATTTCAGCAACACAGGCTGATTCTTTCAGTGAGATAAAGCTGCTAGAGGCTAGAAGGGCTTTCTAAAGACATGGAATTTGCACGGAGACCTGAAATATGAAGCCAGGTATGTGAAAATCAGAGAGACATTCTGACCAAAGAGACAGAAAGCTCAAGGCTCCTGAGGCTGCAGTGAGCTTGGCTTATCTGAGACAGAGAAAGGCCAGTTTGGTTGGAGAACAGTGAATGAGGAGAGGTTGGCAGAGCACCTGCACACTATCCTACGTGCAATTTGTTCCATTTAACAAAATATCTTGGAAATCAGTCCATATTAGAGCATCCCTAGAATGGACTGATGATTTGTGCCACCCACCTTCACAATTCATATGTTGAAACCCTAATCCCCAACATGGGGGTATTAGGAGGTAGAGACTTTGGAGGTAATTAGATTTAGATGAGGTCATGAGGGTGGATCTCCCATAATGAGATTAGTGCCCTTACAAAAAGAAGAGACACCAGAGATTCCTCTCTCCATCATGCAAAGACACAGTAAGAAGCCAGCCATCTGTAAGCTAGAAAGAAATCCCTCAACAGAGCCAACCCTGGTATCCTGACATTGGACATCCCAGACTCCAGGACCATGAGAAATAAATGTCTGCTATTTAAGCTATGCAGGTACTTTGTTACAGCAACTCAAGCTGACGGGTACACTCCTATTTGGCATGAATTTCTACTGTACAAGCTTTCAGTTTATTTAAGCATTTTACCATTGTCTAAATGTTTAGATTATCTATGGCCTTTTGTTCTTACAAGCAGTATTCAGTGTTGTAATAATATCATTACTCTATGGCTTTGCACATTAGGGTGATTCTATCTGTAAGAAAAGTCCTAGTGATATGTGCTTTTATATTTTGGTATTTTTACTTCATATCTTGATAGATATTTCTGAATATACTTCGAAAGAAACTGTAAGTTTCCACCTCCACAAACAATAATGCTTACTTCCGTTCACTCTCCTCTATCTAAGGAGCCATAAATGTTGGTCTCAGTCTCGTTGCTACATGAAAATGATATCTCACTGTAGTTTTATTTCATCTTTATCAGAGAGATCTAGTTTATTTTCATGTGTGAAAAAGCCATTTACTTTGTGCATGTGAACTCTCAGTCCATATTCTTTATCCATTTTTCTTAGATTGCTAAGTTTATTTCTATAATTAATTCATTACAGGTTGACTCCCCCAGCAAACCCGTAGGAGCAGAAATTGTGCCCATGAATGGGAAGGGTGAAGAGCTGCAGCTTCTCAGGCCCTGCAGTAGACATTGGCTTTGCTACCAGCCTAGAAATTATTAGGTAAGTTTTGTTTCTTCCCTATACTCTTCAATGAGAAGGTGAGACAGAATATTTCCAGGAGGAGAGAAATCAAGATTCTCCCCTCAACTTCTAGATTCTAAATCATTGGTGCAGAACTGAGAAACACCCCCTTTTTAAAGGGTATTCTGAGAAAATCCAAATGTGATCATGGTTAGAGATTTCTTCCTAGCTCCACTGTTCCTCTTCCCTAACACAAATTGCAGAGATTCTTTCTGGAAATTTGTTTCACTCAGTGCCTGTAGCTGAGCAAACATGTGAGAATGTTTCCATTATGCATTCTATATAGTTATAGCTATGAATAATAGCATACAAATATGTTTCATCAGATGGACCAAGAATAAGATGTTTGACAATTAAGTTTGTGAACTTGCCACCATGCTCCTACTTTGGCAGCACTGTACAAACAACTTGGTAAGGTTTCATAATCTTGGCATATCAGTGTCTCACAGTTGTGCTCATGTCGATGTGTGGCAGTGCTTCACTGAGTAGTGTTCATTATTGTTATTGCATGTTTTTGTGTACCATCATGAGAATATCAGAGCTTAAATTAGAGCAATAAACAAATATTCATAAATTTTTTGTTAAACTTGGCCACAGGGGAAGTGTAATCAGGGACTTATTAGTCCAAGTTTATGGGGATAATTCCATGAAGAAATCAGCAGTGTACAAATGGATTAAAAGTTTTTCTGAGAGTAAATATCACTGATGAACAGAGCTCAGGATGGCCAATACCAAGCAGAAATGATGAAAACATTGCAGAAATTCATTGAATTGCACATCAAAATTATTAGTTATGAGAAGCACAGCAGATCAAGCAAACACCTATAGAGAAACAGGAAAATCTTAACAGACAATTTTGGCCAACAACACATGGCTCTTGCACCAGCTCACACAGCACTGTCTATGAGGGAGTTTTTGGCCAGTAAACAAATGATTGTATTAGAACCTCCTTCCTACTCACCTGATCTGGCCCTCCCTGAGTTTTTTCTTTAACTGAAGATAAATGAAATATTGAAAGGAGAACATTTTGATGACATTCAGGATATCAAAGGTAATATGATAACAGCTCTGATGGCCATTTAAGAAAAAGAGTTCCAAAATTGCTTTGAAGGATGGACTAGGCAGAGTACTTCAAAGGCAACAATAGTGACACTCAGCAATGAGGTGTGTAGCACTTTCTCTGGGATGAGTTCACAAACTTAATTGTCAGACTCGTATAGTACCTGTGTTCAAATCTTTCTGCCTCAGTCCTCTTCCTACAGCACGTACTCTCCCTTTCAAATACACATACACAATTTTGCATAGATATTGGAATCTATGTTTATCATGATTAAAAATAGTAATCAGAGTGCTGTTTCTTTCTCTGTGAGAGATGAAACAACAGTGATAAAGTTAACAGTTTAGGGTACATAATTCTAAAAATCACAATTACATGAATAAAATATTTTTCCATGGTGGAAACTGCCCTATTGATGTGAATGTAAATAAGCAGGGTAGGCTCTGGTTTACCTAAATCCATTCCCATTTTCTGAGACTGCAGGTCATGTATATTTACATATATATTCTACTCATGCTGAGAATCTAGATGGGAGTTGAAAGAACCTTTATGAAAAGATAAAAAGTCATGTCCAGGGATTTCAAAGGATTTCTTCAGAAATACTTTAAATAATTCAAAAACCTCTGCAACAAGACAGTCATGCTCTAAAATTTAGAGGAATTACAAAGTGTTAATTATAATACAATCTACTCTTACAAGTTTTCCATTTCACTTTTTGCCCATGCCTTTCCTAATGAGTGTTGCTTTTTGAGTTTGGAGAGCAGTAATTTTCTTAGCTGTTTCTTTACTAAGGGAGTCTTTTGTAATCTTTAACTTCAGCTTCCTTTCTATAAGGGAAGCCCAGGAAAAAATATGCACTGAAATACAGGGATCTGAAATAAAATATTGTTCAGAACTTCCCTGACCCAGTGTGAAACAATATTTGTTATTTCTCTCTATGCCATGGCTACTGGTCATTCATTCATCTGTTTGTTCATTTGTTCTTTTATTTATATGTTTACCCAAAAAACATTTTTTGAGCATACTTTTTCAGGTATAGAGTTAGACACTGAAACTCAGAAAGATGAATTAAGACAGCCTATGAGGCATTTCATTTATAGGAGAGACATAGGGGTGAATAAGCTTCATTTCATTTGAACGTCCCACTGACCCTGTAAGTTGGGTAGGACAGATGTTATTCTTAATTTATAGGTGAAGAAATGGAGGCTCACATTGTGACTAAGTACATTATCTAGAGCCTTCCAAATAGTGAGCTAGGACCAGGACAGAAATCCAGTCTTAGAGTTCCAAATCCACATCCATCTCACTGCTATGCCACATGGGCAAACAGCTCTCCTTGAGAAGTCCCTGGAGGCAACATTGCTGATGTAACCACCTTACTGCCTTTTGACATCTGTGTTATGAGCCATGAAGTATGTTCATAATAGGCAAACTCACTAAATATTCTAATACAACTTTACTCCTTTTAGCCATGAATAACAGAAAGACAAGCATATACTATGTCCTGAGTTTTCTATAGCTGTGCTTTTTAGCAAGAGCAAACTCTAAAATCCAATTAAGCCCCACGCATGGAGGAATAAGACTCATCCCTCAAAGCAAACTCACACACATCTTCCCAATGATGCTATCTCCACCATGTATTTTCCCTTCCTGCAACAACACAAATTATCAGGGCATTCCCTGCAGAGCCAAATTTTAATACACAGCAAACCAACTTGTGATAAGCTTACAAAAGAGATAGCACTGGGCATATATCATTGGCATAACAACACAAGCTGACTGACTGCTTGGGATTGATTTACCCAAAGCAGAATGTAAACAAGAATGGTGGAGGACTGGAAGAAGCACACACATGGTTAATTATAACTGTAAACAACTACACTGGGTTTGGGTGGGGCTTTACCCCCTTGGGTGCGGCTTTACCCCCTCTCCAATACATTCCGAACTCTAGGTGATCTACACCATGACCTAAAACTGGCCAAAAAAAGGCTTCCATATACTTGATGTCATTGGGCACATTATCCCAGTTAGAACAATGAGACTCAATTTTGGGATTTTTTTGTTGGGATCACAGGGGATTTTTGTTTTCTTCCTTCCTTTCTTCCTTCTTTCTTTTCTTCTTTCCTTCCTTCCTTCCCTCCTTCCTTCCTTTCTTCCTTCCTTCCTTCCTTCCTTCCCTCCCTCCCTCCCTCCCTCCCTCTCTTCCTCTCTTCCTCTCTCTATTCCTTCCTTCCTTCCTTTCTTCTTGCCTTCCTTTTGTTTGGCTTGATTTGAAGCTGGGAGAATGTAAGTCTAGAGGTTATAAGGACCACAGCATAGAAAGAAACCGTCTGAGAGTTAATCAGTACACACAAAACCCAAGTTAAGAAATGGAAGAAAACTGAGCTCTAATTCCTAATAGTGTAGTTTGAAAACCTGGATCTGAACATGCCTAAAGTGAGAGCTACTTCTGTGTTATTCAGATACTTAATAAATCTCTTTTCTTGTCCCCTTTCTCTGTCTGTCTGTATCTCTTCCCCTTTTCCCCCTCTTTAGACCAGTTCAATGTGTTTCTGTAAGTTGTCACTGAGAAATCTCTTAATAATTCAGGAAACAGCAATCAACCTTTCTTCCCAGTGATTCTGTATCTTTCTTTGAAATATCATAGACAATTTGGAACAGTGACCATTTACCTCCATAAATCCCTAGCTATGCAATCCACAAGATTCAGACTTGCCTTCTTTTCTTGATATTCAGAGAGAAACTGAATTTTTTTTTTTTGCAAAAACATAGCCTGGAATGATTTAAAATTTTATTTGTTAATAAAAAGTAAAACCTATTATGAAATTCTGAGACCAGAAACAGTTAAATGCTTGCAAAGTTAATGACATTTTCAGTTGCTATAATAAAATGCAATCTTTTATTTTAAAGATCACAGGCATTTAAAATTATCCAATAAATATGGTACACTGATTTCATCATAATACTCTCGTCCTCATAATCTCTTTAATCCTGCTAGTTTCTTTTGAAAAAACACTTCAGTTTTTGGTCAAATTCCATGAGTACTTAGTTTTATGTGGTTTGTTTAATATTTAGAACTGAAAAAGGAGAACTGTTTTCTAAAAGTAGTTTCCAGGGGCCTACATCTGAAATCCCCAGGGTAGAAATAGTTTCTCAGTTGGCTTGACTGCTCTTTATTCATTAATTTTTTCCTTCATTCAACAATGACAGCAGAATTTCTGAGTCCCTACAGACTTGGTACACATAGCTTAGCAAGACATAATCTCACTGTTAGCTTCTAGTGGCAGAGAATGGTGACAGTATCAATTATTAGACTGCCTCATATTTTCTACTCTAAAAATCCCCGTGATATTTTTAATGCTTTCATTTGGAAATGCAAGACACCCCCCCATCCAAGTTAGTAGGTTGAATTCTGGGTAAGCAAAATTCAGTTTAAACTTGAAACTAAAGGTTTGCCTGGCCTTTATAAGCATGTCTATGGAATGTGGCCTTGATGGGTAGGCCAAGATTTAAAATAAAACATGGATGTACCATTTATACTTTAAGGTGGAATAAATGTATATACACGGTAAATGCTGAAAGAGAAGAGGCAAGGAAGGTCACTCACCACATGCTAGTGTGCCAGGGGCTTTTATAATAAATCGTCTCAGTCAGCTCTCAAAACATCCTGTGAAGTTGGCACTATAGCCCCTGGGGACCTGTTCTGCTCCCCGCTGACCCACAGGGCCTGTCCTTCAAGACAGGTGTTAGGCCCAGGGAGCCCTGTGCACAGGCCTAGTCAAGAGGGCGAGCACTTGCCATTTCCCAGCCAAAGGCTCCAGAGTTCAGGGGAGTTTCCCTCTAGCAGGAGTCTAAACAGACTGAGGGACAAAATGCAGATGTGCAGCCACCTGATTTGTGACTTTCCT